ATGTGTGACAAGAATTTGACATGAGTTTTCGTCGAGCAGGCAATGCAGCACACTATTCTAATAGTAATAATGGCCGACAATCGTGCAGTACGTCACCGACTTGCGAATGATAACCGCAGCGTTGAGCTGCGGTCATATCAGAAAATAAGAGACATATGATGATATTGCATGATGGGGGGTCGCCTATGGCTGTAATTCGCCTCGACTTAAATTTGGAGCTCGATATTTTTTATTTCCTTCAGTTTCATAGTAGAACACGCAGGATGTCGACAAACATTCTACCTTAATTGAATCAGTTCGCAATCTTTCTTCAGTTCTTATTAAATTTTTGAATCTTGTTACAGGTTTTTCTACCATCTACATGCCATAAAACTCTGCGATCAAAATTCGTTTTACAAAACAGTTGTCTTTTATTAGCTGGCAGTGGCCGACCATCGGTTGAAGTCAATTAGTCAGTTTAATTGAAAATTATTATTTCTCTTATAACGACGTATTACATCAGATAGTGCAATTTTATTCAAATTTGCATCTTATAATTTTCACTGCCGCTTTCTGGAGTGAGTTTCGTTGAGTTCTGCAGGCTCAGGACCACAGATTAAACAACGGAGAATGCCAACCTTCTGTGTCTGTATATTTATCCTGAGAAGTCGTGTCAGAACTGGCACAGTGTACAAGTCAGCTAACTAAACTTTACGATCCCACTTTTAAAGATACTATTCATCCAAAAGTTTTCAACGTATTTATATATGATATTCCGTGATTGTGATGTCTCTTGATTTACACAAATAAGATATTTCTGCTTCATTTTTCAAATGACTATCGATCACGTAATTACGGCAGTGAAATCTTAATCTGATTCGATGGCAACTTGTTTTTGAGTTCATATCGAAATTACAGTAATCATGCACCGATATTAGTACCTGTAAATTTTGGTCCCGAAACTACAGTCGGAAATTAGATGACTAGAGGGAGGAATTCAAGGTCTTCTTCAGCATCTGTTTCTCGTTCTTCATCGTCCAGAAGCGGGCATCGTAAAAAGGTAGCAAAGCATGGTCATTCCGAGAATCGGGTTCGCGAAAGGGCACGTCATCAGCATGATTCACGGTCTGATAACAGTGACAGAGAGTACAGGCGTAAACACGACCACCACCGCTCGCAAGAGGACAGGAAACGCCACTACCGGCGTAAGTCGCGCTCTAATAGCAACGAAGGAGGGACGGACAGGAAGGAGCTGTCACCGGTTTTGGATTACAAGAAGGCCACTGATGGTAAACAGGAATACGACCGCGGCGAACGGAAACACAGTCGTTCTCGTGCTCAGTCGAGATCTGCCTTAGATCATTTTCATTCCAGATACGAGGAAAAGCGATGGCAGGACTGTTTGCGATGGTACGAAGATTTCTGTAGCATTTGACAATCATCTGTTCTTATTTGTACTAGATTCATTGGGTTAATGCATAAATTATTTTGAAAGGGTTGAGGGACAGTAGCTAACTGTTTGCCTTGCACGTTAGATGTGCAGAGTTCAGATCTCAGATCTAGGCATAAACGTTTTCTTAATAACTGCTTGTTCCCTTGAGCTATGGGATTTTATCATTATGCTTCGGTGCAATCAGCTGCGATTTGGACATATGTCATAATTTCCTCATATACGATAGTTTATCGTTTTGTATACATTTAATGTAATGGCAACATCTGTTACGTTTTCATTTTTGGGTACGATAACTTAAGCATCGCCTTAATTACACGCTGGAAAAGAACGAATTCAAATTGAACATAGTCAGTACTTCCTCTGCGAATCGATGTTTGTCTTATCGGGTTCGCTTCTGATGAGGTCTTGTTGTTATCGTCATCTGAGTTATTATGGTATCCAGATTAATGATGTATCTGACGCTTTGGCTCTCGAAATGATTAAAATGATATTAATTGCAGTGGCTAAGGTCATATTCCTCGTTGCAAGCATATCCGCGTCTGCTTTAGTACGGGATGGTAGCCTCCAAAGAGCCTGCGGCTATTTTTTTCCTTCCCAGAGGAGAATGGTTTTGTATACGCTTGAATTCTCTCAACTGAGGGTTCTATCAAACCACGACATACGCCGGTCCTTGATTGCTTCATGTAGCATTCTCAGGCTGGCCATCTCCGAGATCTTTTCGTTCTTCATTTGATGGAACTGTCCCATTTTTAGAATGGTCTGCAGACGGCACTGCTGAAAGGTTTTCAACGTCATTTCATAGCATTTTAAAAGGGTTGATGTTTCGAGGATGTGCTTCAGGATTGAGAAGTCAGTGGCTTAAGGTTTGGTGGTTTTCACTGCTGTCCCGATAGATCGTCTTGCAACACTTTAAAATGTCGTCAAGTAGTCGGGTAACCGCAGATCGTTTGGAGGTCTCTGTCGGTAGGTACAGGCAATGAAGTGTTGAGCGTGCCGCACCCATTCTTGATTTCACAGCTGGCCAAAAGCTGTGTAGGCGATACGATGGGTCGTTCGTCGTTCAGAAATCTCTGTAGCGAACTGTTGTGCCAATAAAGACTTCATGCCCATGTAAGAAAGGCTTTAGGTTCAAGCAGAAAAAGATATATTCGTTTTCTGTGTACTTCACATCTTCGCGGTTGATTTCCAGGGCTTTCCGCTTGCTTTGGATAAAAGTCCTTCCCAGTTTGTGATTGTAAGCACAGATTGCTTGATTCAGGAGATCTGCTTCTTTTCAAGACATCACTTCTAATTTCATATGCAACTTTGATTTTTGACCTTTTGATAAACACAGCCGATTAGTAGCAGACATTAACCACGTTTTAATATTGTTTTCATAGGAACCGACACGGCCTGGATGCGGCTTGCCGAAAAAGTCCTAATCAGTTGTATAGAAGTGCATGCTACAGAGTGCATACATGCTGCTTTTTAAATGATAGTATGATCGCACTACTATCAGTCGGTTCTTCCTCTTGTTAATCTTTAAGTTATACTGTTTCCATACCTCACATTCTTGTTCACAAGCCATTGTTGGTTAGTCGTAAAGAAACGGGTGACAAACATAGAAGAGGTAGTTTGTAGCTGTCTCTTTATTTTGCCACAGTTGTTAGGCCAAGATTGTCTAATTATTTGCTGATTGTAGGCGACGAGAAAGGCGAGTGGAGATTGCAGCAAAAGGCGTACCATCAGTATGGGGTAATTCACCAGAGCCACTGCCAGACTCAGCTGAGTAAACATTACACTTTGTGTTTCATAACTGCGATTTATGTTTTTGATTGTGATATGATTAAGGTCGAATCTAGAAGACGAGGATGACGAAGAGAGAGAACAGAAGACGGCGAAGTCTAACGAAAGCATTAAGATGAAGGACTCTAAGAAGAAATCACACAAGCACGACAAGCATAAGAAGTCGAAAATGCACAAATCAAACAATAAGCCTCCAAAGCGGAAGGAACGTGAACCTTCTCCACTGGAAGACGAGTCTTCTAGCGAGTCTGAGGTATGGGTGGAGATTACGAAGGAGACTTTGGAGAAAAATGGAGTGTCGATAGAGGACGAAGAGGAAGGCCTGATCGGACCGTCGATCAGTAAACTTGGCCAATCAGTCGACCAAGGAAAACGAGTAGAGTATGGGCGAACTTCTTTAAAATAATTGTCTAGTGCCGTTGAATATTCAGATTCATCTCATGCTTTAGTCTAGATGTCCAGTTATCAAGATTCAGTGGTTATATGCATGAACAAATCACAGATGAACTTCATTTTTGTAGCTGCCGTTCGCACTAGTCGCCATAAAAGGTTCAGTAATCATAGTTAATTCCCGATGATCGTCAGTTTTGATTGTCGTAAATATTCCAATCTATTATTCATCTTCATGAGCTTTTTATGTCAATCTATAAAATGTATGGGGGAGGGGGCGTTTTAGATATTTTGGCCAGTGCACACAGCCAGGGGTATTCTGAATTTGACCGCTGTTCTTCCAGTTGCAAGAGTATCGTTCTGATTTATTTATCTTCAAAGTCGATAGTCTGTCATATTACTGGCCCGGTTGTTTCTTAGATTTATCCAATAGACGGATGATGAAGCTTGATTGAGTTGCAGGATCGGGGTTGCTCAGTCGGTACAGCGTGGAACTCAGAACCGAGAGGTCTCTGGTTCGAGTCCGGATCGGACCGAACCTTTCAGATAATGTACTACTCACTGATGATGATGACGTAGAAACGGAGATCAGCGCGTCAAATGGTGCTAGAAATGGTTCCATCATGAAAGTATAAGGAAATCATACATTCCAGAGGTTACAGACCTTCCTTCCTGCTTTGATTTAATTAAATTCATAGCATAACTTTCAGGGCATTCATTATAGTTCAGTCGTGTGCCCTTAGACCTCTCTCATGACTATCTGTGTAGTAGTATAGGGAAAAATGCCAGCCTTCCAACTGCATCTTCTGACTATCTGTCCAGCTTAGTGTAATTTCTGTTTTTCGATTTAGTTGAAAACTAAGTGGTAAGATTTTTGTTACTGCGGAACACTCGTCTGCCGTTTGCCAATCTAACTATTCAAAGACTATCGCTACAAATTTTCTAATGCATAGGTTAACGAATAGAAACTTATCTTTTACCATGGTTGTTAACCATAATGGAATTAGCTCTTCGACAACTGCCATTAGCTCTTCTGCTCTGACGTCATTGCGATTTTTTTCTTAGGCAGGTAAAACTAATGAGTATCTGACAAAGTGGCAGATTCAGGTTCGTACCATATTACTGTAAGGACATGTCACGGAGGAGCTTAAAGCACTTGAAGCGGTTTCATGCGTCTGTCAAATTTTTGGGTGTCTTGCTGAAAGCTCATCCAAAACGGGCTGAATGTGTTTATTGGGCACTTTGGAATGTACCAAAGAGTTACCAGTAACGAAGTTTTTTTGTTTAGTGTCTCAGT